CTCGGAGCGAAAGCTTGTATCTTGTATCGTGACTGGTCGCTAAGTAATTGCTCCAGTCCCTTGGGGCTTCCGAGCTTGTTTTGCCATGGCGAAAATGCTGTACTTGTTCCTAACTAATTGCGTTTCTTTATCCACTTACGCCAATCTGCGGAACTTAAGTTCTCTATGGATGTAAACCGTCTGATGAGACCCCTTTCAGACCGTGTCTAAAGTTGGTGTTATTGAAGCGATAAATGGGCACACTACCTAAGTAACTTGAGTGGCGTTTCATTACATAGATTGTATTAAACGGCGGTGTTTGTGTTAAGGTTAGGATCAAATGGTATTTACATAGACCGTTTCTCCAGCCGCGGGATAATAAATGCGTCTCGCTTATTGATTAAAATATTTTATCATCAGAAATCAAATTAATGTAAAGTTTTAATTGTAATGAAAGCTTAAACACGTTCTATTTGATTTTCTCACACACTCGTTGTTATTATAAATTGCTATTCTGATGTAAAATCTTTTTGGTGAATTATTATTATTGATACTAATTACTATTTATTTACTTGTATTATGTGCGTGTAAAACTCCAAAAACTCGTTATTATGAACGATTTCGGCACAACAAGAAAAGTTAAACCCCTCGCATAGAAACTTTATAATGCCGAGGGACAGCCGAGTAATCCTTAATCCCTTTGGGAGTCCATTCGTTCGCACTCTCAAACATTATTGGTCCTTACGTCGTTCCCCTGCAGGTATATTATAATGAAACATATTTTTTAACAAGGGATTATTTCGCTTATCCTTATTTCACAAAAGACAAAGCAAAATAGTTTTAAATTAATAAGACTTAATCTATAATACTTATACCCAATATAGTTAAGTTTAGACCAACTTTGTTTCTTTTAGGAGGTAATAACCTGAAACTACTTAACGATTTATAAAAAAAAAACAGCAGTAAAAAGTTATGTTATCCCGACTCATACCTATATAAGATAGTTAAATTTCCAGAGTGGAGTTCAAACAAATTCTCAGATTACACACATAAACTCTTATCCCTGAAAAATCATGGCGTTTGAGATTAGCGTAGAAAAAATAACTACTTATCGCTTAGGTACTGATGTGTCCCATTTCTCTCTAATCCCAATTCAAGCTAAGCACTATGTCATTAAATTAAATGTTACGTTGACGACACATTTAATACTATACAGCCGCAGTAGCTACACTTTACACATGAAATTGGTACTTTAAACTATTTTTGTTTCGTTCAGACAATTCAATCAAAGTGACAATCGTATATTTATATGTGGTTAGAAAACAGTTGAATATCAAAGACACGCTTTATTTCTTACCTTACCAGTGGAAAGCAGTCTCTAACAAACGTGTTTAGCCATCGGCAAGTTGACTAACACACGAGGACGTTGTTAAAGTTGGAGAGAACTTGCAACTTCGCCCTCTCCTCATCATTGGAACAAAAATTGACGTCACTAATGGAATTGTCGAGGAATCTTTAGCCGAAATCTTATCTTGAATCGAAATAAGTAAAGCGCAAAAAAAAATAAAAAACACTAAAAAGCAAGATATTACACATATTCTTTACTTATAAATGTAAATTCTTATATTCAAAACCTATATTGATTAATGAAAAACATTGTAGCGTTACCTGTAGCCCCCCTAGTACGAGTTTTTGACAGTTCCGTAACGTATCGCATCGTCAAAGTTTCTACGAAAACTAAGCAGCGCCCCTATCGGACGTAAGAACAAACTATCTTTTTCCCTATAAAATTTGACGATGACAATACATTACGGAGCTATCAAAAATTCGTGCGTGGGCCTCTGAATAAATACGTAAATAGCAATAATCAAATTATTGGTTGACTGTTGATAAGAATTTCACACGCACCACGTATTTATTTGTCTGATCAATGACGGGTAGGATATTGTTTTTTAATGCCATAGAGAGATCGAGCCAAGACTCGCCACGTGGGCCCAGTGCGGATTCATCAAATAGAAGTATTTGAAACAGAAACTTATTACAATACAAGACACGTAATCACTTGGAACAGCTTGCATTAAATTCAAATTTGCAACTCGCGGTAGTAATACATATTTAGTTGTTGACTAAAGAACTTGCATATTGCCAGCAGGCATTAACTGGCTTTGTAAGTACATTCGGGGGCGGTGGCGGGGGTCCTGTCCCACTGACCCACTAACATCGCACAGAAGCAAAAACCTCCACTCTCTATGACTGAACGAATAAACCTAAATAATAGGACCATCTGTAAGTCATTGCCGGTAGTGATTTAAGTGATGGGTTTTAATGTAACATTTACTCTATATCATTTGTCTTTAAAATTAGAACGATAAAAACAGAATTAAGAATTATCAAAATACATTCAAATCACGTCAATTTGAGTTTGGTTAAAAGGTGGTGCTCATAAATGAGATGAGCACCAACGGAATGCTAGGGCTTGAACGAGAGCCATTCAGTTTCTTTTAAGAATAATTAGCTGTATGCATGTTATGAATCTACTAAACATTTTGTATTGTCTCGGAATCCACTCAAGAATTGCAAGCCGTGAGTGATCAACTCGCGGTTTACCCGCTTATATCTCTTGTACAAACTGATTGAAAGTTGCTGGATAATTTTCCACCAGTTGACGCCGAGCCGTAGGCTTGCCGTTGGTTTGTCGTAAGGCGCGCTGATGGCTGTAGTAGTCGAGTGGCCGTACCGAAGGAGTTGATCTGCTCCAATTACGTGCCTACGCACGGTGGGAGACGACAAGGTCATTCGATCGCAATCCATTACCCAAATATCGTTATCCATTTCCCGTATGATATAGCTATGTGCACGAACTTTAAATGTCGTCGGTCGTTTATTAACTTGAATTGTTTGTTTCCTCAAAATAATACATTCTTCGATGTAATATTAAAACGTAATTCGAGGAATTACCTCCCTTTAATATTTTCGAAATGGAAGCAAAGGCTTTGTCATTCATTCGTTCACGTCATTGAATCGATTCTTGATGTTTTACAATGTAGCATATAGCAACATGTTAGTGTTGTCGCGTTTTGTTTGCATACGGGAACAAGGGAATCAATTTCAAATGGCACGTTATATAAATCCTCCACGTCTCAGATCGTCTCGCACCCAGATTGCATTCAGTAGCAGCTGTGCCGTAAGTAATGTCCCGCTGCACATCACCATCTCACCCGACTCACTATTTCTGCGCATTTTAATCTCTACTAACGTTCGCTGCGGTAACATTTCTACATGGTACATTTTCCAGTAACGAAGGTCTCAGGAGAATAATGGACTATTTATTTGGTTTTACGGCTACGTGCTTGTTTGCTTCAACACGTATATCACTATATCCGTTGGCTTCCGGTTGGACATTTTGTACACATTGTAAAGATACCTTCTCTTTTGTCAACTTGTTATGTTTTATTGATATAGTGTGGCTTCATAATAAATATTGGTAATGAAATTATGTCGGAATCATCAATAAAACCATTCTTTTAGACATTTTTATGCAAATAAATGAAAAGGCTCACAAACATCAACATAATGAGCAAGCACAGTATATTGATATACTGCTAGCTACCAGAGCCTATTCTACCACTCCTACCCAAAAAATAAAACAAATTAAACTGTTCCAATTCAACCAGAACACTGATTGATTCTAGGTACCTCTTAGTATTTAAGTTAACTTTTTTTTTAATATTACTTTGAAACATTAAACAGGCAACTGTTACCAAATTCTATAGGCTTCAATTCAATTCAACATTGGCAAAGTTACATCTATTGTTCCCGAGTTGAACGTCATTCGGACCCCTCGAAAAGTTTATAATTAACGTTACGGAAAAATTGTGACTGAGAAAATCGAATGCTTCTCAAGTGTATTTTAATCAAACTTGAACGTTGGAAGCGTAGTAAGTCAATGAAGAGTTCGTACAATCGTTGATAGCCGTGATTCAGTTGTTGCAAGCCTTTCAAAATAAAATAATCTTTGTGATTTCTTATTTATTTAACGTTCTATCAGGTAAAGTACCGTGATTCAAACAATGAAAACACTTTCCTTGTTGAAAAACTAAAATTAAGATTTAGTGTCATTTGAATTGAATAGCTTTAGTGAAAAAGGTCATTGCTATTCTCGGCTGTAAGCTCCATTTGTTGTCCTAGCTAAGAAGGAAATTGAATTGCACTTTATGTTACAATGGAAATTAAAATTGGAATGCTCCAAATGTTTTTTTCAAACATTCCGTATCTGTTAGTATTAGAAGTCCTTTGTTTTTCTCCGTCCGGTTCACCTTTGTCTTTGTCAAATTATTCAAAAGCTTTTGCCTCTGATGTACCTACTCAAGAGGTCTTTTTATTTCGTGCTACTACCTTACTGAGCAACATCATAATTAATTCATTCCCATAGATTACATATTTTATTTTTGTAATTATTTGCTTCCAAAAAGAATATGTTTGAATGCTTATAATTAACTTGCAATTAGTGTCATGTGTGTTTGGAACAAATCTTGCAACTGAATTTTATAAAAGTTATCCTCACCGATTGAGACAAAATTTCCACACCCGTTAAGTTTGGATAACAATGCATTACTAACTGTCGTCATTATTAATCCAATATGGTGGGCAACCTACGATGGCAGACTAGTAATTTTTATTGTACTTCCATAATATGAGTATGAAATGAAAGAGTTTGATGATAAGAATACGAATAATAAGAAATAAATACATCTGCGTTCAATTGTCATTTAAATATAAGACTAAAATATCTTTGAATTATGAAGAAATTATTAAAAAGTTTTTATTAAGTTAATTATATATTTGGTTCAGTTGATTACTAACTATCGAAGCCTAGATGAATCATTAAAAAATTACCTACATAAAAATGTATTTTAAAATAACTATGACTTAGTCTAGAGAAACTAGGGTAGGAAAAACATGCTTACAATCTTGAAGATTACGATTTTCAAAATATGTAATTGTTTTTTTTTTATTTGCAGCTTCACGTAGCCGTCTCAACGAGTACATCGACCACTATGAGCCGCTCGACTACGACACGGGCGCAGTGCACAAACAGCATATGCGAAGGCGACGCTCCACAGACACACTGTCAGACTTGCAACTCGACTTCAGAGCTCACGGGAGGAAGTTCAATTTGCGGTTGCGAAGAGATCTCTCCGCCTTCAGTGATGACTTTAAGGTAAGGACAAAAATTATTACACTCACCCAACCCACCCAAGTCTCTCATGCGGTAGAACGAATGGCATGCATTGAACTAACCACAAGTTATTATTTTAATATACTCAGTAAGCAGTTATATACATTACAACATGAAATGCATTCCTTAAACGCTTTGTAAGCATTTGAATTTGAAAAACTTGTAGCCAAATACTATCAGCATAATTCCAGTGGAAAAATTAACAAGAGTGAGTTTATTTCTCCTGTGTCCATTCGGTAAAGTGTAATACTATAGTAAATGATATGTAATATTATATTAAAACAGTTATCGTTCATAAGATTTAAGTTAAACACAATGCCACGTTTGGTGTGATGACACATTGCTATACACTATTTCTTGCGGGTTGGGAGGACACCTCTACGATGTTGGGTCCAAGCTTATATTTGGCAACAATCGGATAACATGTTTATATCTTGACATTACTATTGGGATTGAAAGACTAACATGTAGAACAGTAATTGAAAATTGATACTCGAATTGTTTTAGTAAATAATACTTCTAGTAATATATCTTTATTAGTAAGTAATTAAGTATATCTTTAATATTTTGTTAAGTTATATAATGTAATTAGTAACTGCCACCGGCATAAACAAAGAAATGAGATTTGCTGAATATTATCCTTAATTTTGACCTCACATTAACATTTTTATTGCAGTTATTTATTATCCTGTTAGGATTTCCGGCATATAAAAGAAAATGACGCACCTAATTCCGAAGTTAACGTACACAAATATTTGTTCACTTTTGAAATTTCAAATAGAGCACTGACTTGCTTTTGATTTCCCAGATTTAATGTTTAACTTTTAAATTATAAATGGAATATGCATACTATTGTTTTTATGGATGATTGCTGTGTTACCAAAAAGACAAATTCGAAATGTATATTCACAGGTCGAAGGTTCGCAGGGACAGGTGCACGAAGTGGACACATCGCACTTATATCATGGCGAGTTGGCAGGTGAGTAATAAATAATCGCACAACATTGTGTTACTAATAACTTTAAACAGTACTACGCTACCTAAACACACTACTCAGTACACATCGTACGTTATCCCCTTTTCGGCAATTATTTATCTTTATCTTTGGGTACCTAGATATAATAATTATACGGTAGTGTAACAGAAGAACAAAGCACTGTCTGATAGATTGCCGGCGCTCGCTACTAAATTCATATACCGGTTAATAGGTTTACCAAACTGAGAGACGAAGCGAGTAGTCTCCCGTTTAGTGCGGGTGTCTCACGTCCAACAAGAACAGAAAGTTTGTAGGTGGCGTGCGGCGGACTGGCAGCCAACTCGGCAGCGCCATTGTACACGGCTCCTACAACACCGCCGTTATCTACTCCCAAGAAAGTCCGCCATTGTTTGCCCTCACCCCCGGGGAAAATTTAATAAGTTCCAACCAGGACTACGTCGACCGCCACTGTATTTCTCTTTAATCAAACAAGCTAAACTGGCTCCCGCTTCACGTCTGCTCGTCCCGATGTTAGACTAGAGTCTCCGGTTGCCGTCAATAATAATTCCTTGAGAGCACTGTAACATATTTCTTTTTTGCAATTACTAACGGGATGGCGTCAAAGTCCCGGCTAATTGGGAGCTTTAGGCGACCACTCGACTTTTAATGTCTGGCGGAGGCGGAGGGTTGCCCGCTCGCTCGGTTTGTTCGCTCACCGATGCAATGTAAATAGTTGCCATGCGAAACATGTTCACTGCTTTTTGGTTTTTAAATTCGTAACTTGCTTGTTCATGAGTTACTACTTACATTGTTACGTTCATTAATTTAAAATTCAGTAGCCGTAATTATGGAAGGGAACCTCGTTTTAGGAAGCTCGACTACTCTACTACGACCTGTTGAAAAGATTAACTCTGTGTTTAATAGCAGTTGTTAACTCATGATTTAATTTTTTTAATCAGACTCCAATCTCAAGGTCGTAAATATTACAAGAGAGAATAAGGGGCAGCGCGCGCGATTGTATTTCGGAAAAGTTGTCTCACATCAGCAATGTTATAAGTTTCTCTCACCTTCGACAAACTTATAAAAGTGCCTTCAACTTAAATTGAAGTTTGAATCGATTGTATATCAGCAATGATGCGTATTGTGGAATACGTCGGTCGTATTATGATCGCAAAAGTTTGGTACAGTGTAAATGGGTAAAGTTGTGCGGAGGGCGGCGCGCCATCGATCGCAGTTCGTCGCTCTACTTACTGAGCAGTCGGCACGTTAGATGCACTCGCCGAGTTGTGCACAACACAACACTCCTGAATACGCGTGTAACTGTCCAACGGATTTGGCTTAAACCAACGCTGCGCCCGCCCGCATAATGTGTGTACACGTCACTTTAGACTATCAAGCCAATAGAGGATCAATAGCGCTTTGTTCAGTTGAAGCTACTATTCAATTCTAAGTTTCAATATGCACCAGCCTTAAAGCAATGTTATAAATGATATAACAAATGTTATTAAATGAACGAATTTACGGAGAGAAAATCTGTATTATGTTGATTTACGGGTTACTTTTAATATACTTTACAAACAAAAACTTTCATCTAACAAAGTGGTTTAGATTTAGAATTTTAAAATATTGGTTGCACCTGCTAGTATTTTATATCCCAATGTTTAAAACTAAATGAGTAGACAATAATAAAACATTTGATATTTCGAGTTTCTAATAGACGGAATTGAACGAACAGATACTAAATATTTTATTACGGTAACAACTTTTAATGCACCACTGCACATAAAAGTTAACGCAGACGGAGACACGTCACACAGCACTTTCCATTTTATTTGCACAGTATTTATTGCCTACCAGCGGCCACCTTTGTGTTTAGTTTTTTTTAGAAACTCACAGAAAAATTTAATTTTTTGTGGATAAAAGTATCCTATGTCTCAATCCGGGTAATAAAATAAACGTGTGCCAAACATCCAAATCCGTTCAGCCGTTTTTGCGTGATTGTGTAACAAACATACAAACTTTCCAATTTATAATATTAGTAGGATTCTGGTGATTATCACTGGTATATCATATACATGGCGTAAAGTAAATACGATGCCGAATTTACGGAATGAAATTATTTTATGATATTGTAAAATAGGTGAGGGTTCGCCAGAGCGCTCTAGACTACGGAATATACACGGCAATTTTTCTCCCAACCACCGCCGCTCTTGAATTCCTCTGAAAACATTTTTGGGAGAGTGTGGTATAAACGGAAAACATACCTTCGTACGCTACGTCTCTTTATAAGGTTAAATATTATTTGTAGGTTGTATAAAAAGTTTGCCTTTGCCTCTTGAATATTTATTTTGTTTTTCAGTGAAGACAACTGATTTCATTATTATAATACTTACCAACACTGATTCGTTTTAATGCATATGCAAAGTTGATAAAATAAATTGTTATTTCAAAAGAAGTCTTGTTAATCTATTTAAAACACGTATAGGTTTAGTGCCCAGGGTTCACGCCAAAGAGCAGAGAATAGAATACAGGACAAAGAGATTACAGACAAGTTCGTTTTTTTTTTCATAAGTTGTAACCTCAAAACATGTTTGGAAAAACAATGAATCTCGATATATTCGACGGTGCCAATTTCACACAGTGAAAATTCCAAATAAAGTGTGTTTGGATGTCCAAACAAATGTTTAGGTATGCCCCTAAACCAGCCAAAACCTGAAACGAACGCCAATCAATGGCATGGCAATGTTCATAATAACATCTGCAATGGTTTTGAAACAAGTAGCACTTATCGCGAATTGTGAAGCTGCTCTCCAGCTGATGAATAAACTTGAATCCATCTATGAACAAAACCCAGGATAAATAAAAATTTTCTTCATGAACGTTTCTGTCAATATAAAAAGTCACCGGCACATAGTATTATTGCTCAGTGTATAGCTCTAATTGAGAGCAGTGAATCTGTTATCTATCATTACCAAGATATTGAGTACATTGCCTCCAAAGTATAGACTGCCTCTTCGTCAGTCTTGGATGTCTCGCGATTGAAGCAAACAAAATGTGATCAATTTGACAGCTCGGCTATTAGATGAGGAGGCTGGCTTCAATGTAGAAGAAGAGAATGAGACTGCGTTACTAAAAGCATAACAAAACTGAAGGAAGAAACATTTTGCATCTATAGAAACAGAAAGAATCAAAAGAAACAGGACACCGATTTCTTTGTTATAATTGTGGGAAACGAGGTCGTTTTGCAAAAGATTGTCATGCACCTACACAAAAAAACATATTAGTCTTTAACGGAGATAGCAGTAATTGGCATTAAGATGAAGATTGCAGTCGGTTATTAGACAATGGTGCCTCAACTCACATGTCTTACAAGCTAGAAAAAAATGTAGAATTGTGTGAGTATAAGGAATCTCCAATCCACTCTACTCCATTTCAAAATTAATAAAATATGTATAAATATAACCGACTTCAAAATCGAAAATGGAACTAAGAAGTAAAAAATAATATCTAGTTCATGATTTGGAAGTCGGGCGGGTTAAGATCGAAAGACGTAAATTATTACCGATCAGAAACATAAATCTATTTAATGTTTCAATCTTGACCCCGCCCGACTTCCAAATCATGAACCAGAGTTCCATTTTCGATTTTGATGTCGGTTATATATATTTTTAAATATTTATATTTCATCCATTTTAGTGAAAATTACATCGTCCATGTAAACAATAACACAATTGACGGAGAAATCGGTGAACATGCATAAAAAACATCGTGCGTGCCTTTGAAATTTGAAGGTTTCCCTCAATTTTTCCGGATTTTCCACCATCAGATCCTGACTTGGTTTCAATGGGACCACCTCGGAAGTGCACTCTTTCGAATTAAAAAAGAATTTTGGAAATCGGTCCACAATTGACGGGGAAATCAGTGAACATACATTAAAAAATAAATAAATTTACAGTCGAACATAGAACCTCCCTCCTCCTTTTTTGAAGTCCGTTAAAAACTAGGAGACCAAGAAGACATGAAAGAAGACAAGGATTTTTTTTTACTTACAAGTGTGTTGATTGATAGACAGCATTCTTAAAAATAAATATCTTTAAAATAACCATTTATTCATTTAAAAATGAAAATAAATCGTTTAAGTTATTGGTATATTCAAGTAATTTTAACATTAAAACGGAAAATACATAATAAAGTTTAATGATGTTGTCATTGTTACACAACTCCACATCCTCTGACAGTCTACTGAACTGCAGATAACGAATCCTACTACAACAACCGAAGTCCATAATGTTCTTTTCTTGGTGCTGTATTGTTTACCATCTATTCATTGATACTTATTTGGTGAAGTAACCTCGACTTTACCATTGTCGCTGTACGAATTGACTCGTTTCGAATGCCGAGCATAAAGTTGTATTGTCAACGATTCCAGACAATATACTAAAAATTATGATTTTTCATTGAATAAGTACTTTGCTGTTTTGTTGGTAGAAATCCCCGTACTATTGAATACTGAATCTTCAAATCTTGAAATTCGGCACGAATTGAAACTTTTTGAACTTTAAGTAAGAATTTGTTATGGGTATGACGTTTGGAGACCACTTCTTGAAATAACTGCCTCTGCATATGACCATTTCTGGTTTTGATCACTCCTGCTTAAGACTTTCACGTAATATACTGTTCATGGATTCGCCCATTACGTTTTTCTTCTACTCAGTCCAATGTGCTAAAGTATAAAAAAAACTTCGTGTTGAATCCGAATCTGTGTCATTGGTGTTGCGTATTACAGTGGGGAAAATGTTGTAATTCGTAAAGGCAACGTTATTACACACTTACTTATTTTAACGTGTCATATGAGAAAAAAAGCCGAGAATAATGTAAAAAATTGTCACGGTGAAAGTCTCGGTATATCATGCAACGCCAATCTCAGTAAAGCAAAAATATTTTAATACTACTTACTTCAATTTATTTATCGATAATGGCCAACAAAATGTACAATTATCTCCATTCTATTAAAATTGTCTTAGATTACTATTGACTTAATATACCTCTGTAATAATGGTATACCAACTGTAATTGTGAAAGGTATTCTTCAAGTTTTAGTTGTACTTCAAAATCCATGTAAAATTCTGACTGGGATTCAATATATAAGATTTTTTCCTTTCACTTGAAGAAAAGTTACATTTATTCTCTTACTGGTCACAGAAATTTGTTTTATTTAAAATTCATTTGTGGTGTGACTGTGAGTAATGCATCACCTGCAGCCGCGTGTGTAACTCACACGTGCATTTCAGCGTAACCAAAGGCAATGATAGGTTAATACACGTGTACGAGGGCTGTCAAACAAACTAGAACTTACATATTTAATATTGAGTTAGTTTAGGATCTTTTATTTCACTTACATAATGTATCTATGTTGGAGTAAAATCTTACAGCTGAATTTGAAGGTTGAATAAATGTTCAACCATTTCAAGTAATGCATGGTTAGCTGATATGACAACGTTCTAAATCCAATATGGCGGATGGCCCACGATGATGAACTAGTATTATTTGTACATTCCCATGACTATGGTTAATTTAGTAATAGCCAGTTTTTTTTTTTCAATATAAACTTTCATCTATTAAGCAAACTTAATTGAAACTTCTAAATTTTGATGATTAATAATTTATCTGTTCTCCACTTGTATATTTTGAAAATTTTTTAATTCATGAAAATCCGTCAATTACAAATAGAGAGAGCTTTTGTTTAGAAATTTGTCTTTTTTTAAGTTTTTGTTTAATTTTGCATATTATTCAAATGGCTGATGCTATCTAGAATGGTAGATTCCAGTCCTGTCACTTTATTTACCTGAGTAAAGATAATTATTATCTTGCCCTTGCCACCCCTAATTTGGTGCCATGACACAGGCGACAACAACAGGGCCGTGTCTATCCCCTGTCGCCTACATGTGAACCCAAATGAGTCATCTCACTAACCATAGTTATTAATTTACCCCATGACGGCCATAATGTTGTCCCAACACGACATTTTATTAAACTTTCAACTACTCAGTGTCGTCGTTAGTACAACTTTACTGTAATAGACCAAACACTTAATACTCAGATTATGGGCTTCAATTTAATTAAGTTGTCCTACAATTAATCTTTACGCATTTTCGATTTTCATCTATGATTGTTATGTGCAATAATTTGCAATACTTATGTATCAAATAAAAAAAAATGTAATCCAATTGAAATGAATTGATACTTCAGATTGTAGATATAAAAGCACAATATGATGAACTCATCTATCTACCGTCGACATTTGGTTGCTTATCTTATATCTAAATATAATTTGAAGCTCGCCTCTAACAAAAGTTTTTATAGCTCTTATTATATTAAGAAACTCATTTTGGTTTAATACCATGTTGCTCTAAGGGCTCGTTGAACTTGTTGTTGCTACCAATATTAAGTCCTTTAAATTTGAACTGTTTCGAAAAATTTATTGGATTTTTACATTAACATGCGAAATTTTGTGTTACTATTTTCCTTTTGCTTATCATAATAAATGATATTAATGATATGTTTATACCTAGAATGATTGTAAAACCTAAAAGCACATTTTATTTTTCATTTTGAAAGTTAAAAATAATGGTTGGTTTACATAGTAGACAATATAAAGTAAATGATACTATATTACAGGAAGTAAATACTATTCCAGATCTGGGTGTTATAATAGATTCTAAATTAACATTTATTGCTTGAGCCTCAAAAACTCTAGGATTCATTATGAGAAATGCCAAAGTATTCAAAAATCCCTCAACAACGGTCAAGATTTATAACAGCTTTGTTAGAAGAAGCACCCTAGAGTATTGTTTAGTTATTTGGTGTCCTCAATACAGTATACATCAGTTTCGTATTGAACGTATTCAGAAACGCTTTACTCGTCATCTTACATTCAGTAGTAGGCTGAATACAAATCTACCAACTACAGCCAAAGACGTCAGTATTTCAATATGGACAGTTTTCTCACTAGGAGAAATATTTTGGATATCACATTTTTATTTAAGTTGTCAGAAATGTAGTTGATTGCCAAAATTTCTCAGTAAGTTAAATATTAGAGTTCCCCGTAAACCACCGCGCTATCCTGTACCAACATTTAGTAAACTACTAGCTGTGCCCCGCGGTGTTACCCGCGGTTTATTAGGGATATTTTCCCGCAGTAAAACATAGCCTATGTGTTAATCCAGGGTGTCAGCTAACTCCATACCAAATTTTATTAAAATCGCTCCAGCCGTTTAGACCTGAAGAAGTAACAAACATACACACTCATACACTCACAAACTTTCGCCTTTATAATATTAGTGTGGTTATTTGTTCTTAATTGACATTAATCCCTTTTTTTTTTCTTGGAATGATATGACATTATTAATTGTTTCATTGATTTCACATTATTTATTTTATTATGACAATAACTTTACAGGATTTTATGTTGATAAAAAACTCTATGGCCCATAACTCATTAATAGGTACCAACTCTTAACATCTTACACACGTGATAACTTTTAAACGAAATATCCGATTGAGATGAAACAAAAAGTATTTTACTTCTACATAAATACTCTTGATAACATAATGCTTAATTTCGATAAAGATTAATATTACGATACATATTTAACATAGTTTTTTTTTTTCTTCAGACGATTTAATTATTGTTTTGAACACAAAATCGGTTATTGTGATTAAACCATGATAGCTAGATATATGTTCTCCTGAACTTTTTTATAGGTCTTAATGGGATCTACAAACCCGTAGTACATCATTTTGTTCTATTGTCAATAGTTTTTGCAGCGCACGCAAAAATAGGTTTTCGATTTTACACCTTGTGTTACAAAATAGCAATTCTGTTACGGATCCCTAATTTTGTAAAAAATTTAAAATTGAGAAAAAAAATATAGCCTATAGCCTTCCTCGATAAATGGACTACCCAACACTGAAAGAATCATTCAAATCGGACCAGTAGTTCCAGAGATTAGCGCGTTCAAACAAACAAACATACTTTGCAGCTTTATAATATTAGTATAGATTCGCTCGCACTAACATACTAACACACTCTGAAACATATCGCTTGCCCGACGCTTACAACAGACTGAGTGAGAGTGTTGATATCTTCCATGACTCTTTTCTACGATTTAGGACTAAAGTTTCTGAGTTATTAAGAGGTGCGAAGGCAAATTTAATTTTTATTTTTGTCGTTAATTTCGTTATATCGAAGAATTATATATATTCGTTTTCTATTGTGTATAGTCTCAAAGGCACCACTAATAGTTCATAAATTTCATTACTCATATCTTGTTTAAGTTTGTCTTTCTGTTTGTTTTTTAATTAAAATCCGGTCCGTTCATACTGTCTCTTAAGCTTGATGTGGCTTCCTTCAATAGAATTTTGCATTTTGTGTGTATCACTACTATAATGTTTAGAAATAAGATTTAATGTAACTTTCTCTGGTAGTCCTAATAAATAAATAAATAAAAAATAGTAACATTACCACAACCACCTACATCTAGCTAGACCAACCAGTTTCTTAATCATCCTCATCAGCCTGTTATTGTCCCACGCAGTCCCAATTTGGATTGGTGGGTGCTAACGATATCGATAGCAGATGAAACAGGAACCGTCCTTTCTGACCATGGACCAAGCTGGAAACAATAAATTTACCGTCACCGTCACCTATCCCTTATCTATGAGCAACCATTGCCAAAATTGGTTTACTTCCCCTATTGCAAACGTACCCTTAGCGCAAACCAACAATGAATTCGAATAGTTGACTTCGATCTCGATACGCGTCAAATCTCAAGAAGTTTTGTATGGAAATTTGAACAGCGTCACAGAGGACGTAAAGAGAATAAAAAAAAACAGACCGTTCAAAACGTCCTGACATTTGACACGAATCAAGATCGAATTCTACAAATACAATATTGGTTCATGCTAAGTGCTCCTGATTTCATGGTGTATCATAGAAATCAATAGGTATCGTACAATATAATATATTTATATATTATTCAATTTGTTTTTACGCATGATCGCGGTATGATAAAATAAACGAGCTTATGCCGCTTTTTTAGCTCTTGATGTCAATATTATACAATATCTGCCTATCCTGTGTCCCAATTCCCCAGTGTTTGCTTCTACCATTCGGCATTTGCACAGTTTTGTAACCTTGCGTTGGGTTGAACCAGGCTTGATGCGTACTAAAAAGAAGATACAGATACGTTTGTATGCATGGCCTAGGTATGGACCAATAATATTGATCCATTGCGGCGGTATATGCTAGTCTTTCTATTTATGGTACTGTACCAAGGACCTTAGTATCTATAAAAATATTAAAGAGTGGGAAGCTGCAGGCACTGTTAAATTTTCGCTCAATTTGGAGTGCCTGTGTGGGGAAGTAACGCTTAACGCAAGACCGATCGGTGTGGAGATCCTTAGGGGTTCGGCCTAACCTCAACAGGTTGCGTCGTACGGCTGAAATTACAAGATTACTAATGTGTCCTATATCCACAGATGAGCCACACTCGACGGTGTTTGGTTCGGTGACGGACGGCGTGTTTGAGGGCAAGATCATCGCGCACGACGGCTCCTACTACGTGGAGCACGCGCGCCGTTACTTCCCGCCCAACGGGACGCGTACGCGCATCCATTCGGTCATCTACCGCGAGGGCGACGTCAGCGACCCCTACGCGCACCATAGACATGGTAAGAGAATATTAATTGCAACCATAGTGTTCACTAAATTTCTAGAAAAGATTTATACACTTATACACTGTATAAGGGAAGCTCCTTATTAATAAAACTTTTCATAACACTTTCGTCCAATCTCATTCAACATGACATTTGTATTTCGATGAACAGAAACAACACACTCGTTACTAGTTCAAGATTTTTATTTGTTTATAAATAAGGTGGTTCTATTAAATGTTGTATAAGTTCATTAGGTACTTACGCTAATGTAAAGTTAATTACTTCCAAAAAATCATTTCTTATACCTACTTAAACAAATTTCCAGAGTTCTACGTAAGCTATCTTCGCATCTGGACATGTGGGGTAGAATAATTTGTTGCCTCGTATAAAAAAAAAGTTTCCGTTTGACAAAGCTACATTCGTATCATATTTACATCAGGTGTGGTAGAGCATATTGCAAAATCTTATATAGGTATCTTCATTATTAATTTTACGAAGCAATTGGTTTTAGATGTGGTTGCCAATAAGTTAGTTGTTATATTATTCAACAATCACGGTCTGCTGCTGAAATTAGTTTGTAGGTGCTCGCAACATCTGTACAAGCAATCGGGTTAACAAGCATAATCTAATTATGATTTAGATACTATTAAGTTCCCTCCGCCAACATGCAATAACAAAATTATCTATAGAATTTGTGCTTGTTCGGTGTTTGTGTGGCTCCCTCCGCCCTGGCGCGTAATACGGGTGGGTGGCTAGGAGCCAGCGCGCGTGGAAGTTTCACCACAGCATGTCGCACGGCAAATGGATTGCAACGCAAGGTCGTTTAACAAAGTTTAATCCCATTTGCTCCGTGCCCGTGCCGGCCTCTGTCACCGGCTGATTGCAACACGCCTGCATCGGAAAATTCGCACAAATTTATATTACGTACATTTCGCACCGCTTTAGTGGTCGCCGCGGCGACGGCGACGGCTATCATAAATTCATTACTACCCGCCTGTCAGTATTAATTTGACCCGGCTTCGGCCTGCTCCGAATTCTTTTGACTTATGTTGTTTATGAACCGATGGACCGTCTAAAGCGGAATTTGGATCGCGATGCCATCAAAACCAGACCAATCCGAGTTACATATTCATTCGTTCGTAGGCTAGGTCGGAATGGTAATTTTGCATCAACAACAAGCCACCGCCCGGAAAGTTTGCATTTTTGTCGTTTGAATCGCACTGTAGATGCAATTCTACCGTGCACAACCGTAATACGTACGACGACCCACCTGAATATGCGACTTCTGAATTACATAAATATACTCGCTTTCCAGTTGTACGGACGTTTCAAGGAACAGGGAACGATTTGTGTTTTTAATTCTTTATAGCACGGAATAGCAGAGTATTTCTATCTTATATAATAATCTTAAAGTTAAGGATTCCTTAAGAGATAGGTTTAAAGAATTTGGTATTCTGGATAGTGTCTGCAACTAACTATGCTAGTTGTCTGTCACTTTTCTTTTCGATTTAGGTATAGCTTATGTTAAACCAATGATAACATGGCGATAAATTGTTGAAGAATAAAAAGCTATCGTTCAAATAAAGTCATATTGTTACTCCCGTTTCGTTTGTTGTCGAAAATTACATTTGATCGAAAAGAAATAAATAGGTAGGCTTTGAGTAAACAGGAAGGGTCGCGTTTGTAGCTACATTTATTTTCATTTCGAATTATTGAACAGTGCGGGGGTGTGTCCCTTTGTGCGCCGGTAGCTACTATGCCTTTATTTGAATATGAAATAACTTCTATAAGTACCCATAAAGAAGAAAAACTTATTTAGATAACTGTTCAAAAGAACCCTAGGCTCTTTTGAGCATCCATTGAATTAGCATATACAATACACACAATCCCCATAAGTTGTATAGGGTATAACTTGTGTGTCAATCTAATTTGATGAAAGTAAACAAACAAACCCTTTTTGTATAAATTCTTACACAGTATTGGATAAATATTATAATCGTTTTTAAAATTTAAGAGCACTCTTCTTTGTATGTTACGACTATTGAGAAACAAGAAATGCTTTTTTAATTAGGTTAATAGCAATTTAAACATATTTTGTCGCTTAAACGTGTATACTTTCCATATTATACGACATTCATCCAAATCTATATATAAAAAATATACGTTTTCAAGTCGTTTAGCAACACGTGGAGCAACATACATCCTTTCTTTATCTTTCTTTTAAACGACTTGAACGTATATTTTTTATATGTGGGTTTGGATGAATGTCGTATAAAATGGAAAGTATACATGTTTAAGCGACAAAATATGTTTAAATTGCTATTAACCTAATTAAAAAAGCATTTCTTGTTTCGCAATAGTCGTAATATACAAAGAAGAGTGCTCTTTAAACACAGCAAAAACAATTTTGCTTTGAAACTGTTGTATTAAGAGTACTTAGTATTTTAATTATGTGTAAATGTGGCTGTATAAATATTTACGACAAGGTCTTAGTTGGAAATCAAACGAGGAGATGCGCCCGCCGTACGTCCGTACTTCCGTTACTAATGGTATATCCACCTAGGATCTAGGCGTAGCCGTCTGGGCTTAATTCGTCAGCATCCTCGGTTTTTATTATTTTAATTTTTCTAGGAAATTCGTTCGGATGGTCGGTTGGTTTGGCGCCGTAATTTGACCACGAAACCTAAGAAGAGTATGATTTAGCGCTGAATCACATCAAATCAATAAAAATACTATTAAATAAATAAGTTCAGTCCGTTACTGCTAAACTAATCCGTAGCCAACGAGTTAGTGAGATACAGAAACGTTAGTCTCTACTTACACAACGCTGACATCACACTGTATATAGGATCCTAATTCAGGATTTACGAAAGGATGATCCTTACCCGATAGTAGTAGAGTAGGTACCGTAATTTAGTCATAGTAACATGAATGCCTTTGACTTCCTCATTTTAATAGGATCTTTAGTCAGGCACATGTTTACAAATTCATTTACAAATAGTTGATAGTCCGACTAATAAAGAAGATCCCTTTCCGTGTCGCAAATTAAACACAATATAATTTTTCAACGCTTCACGTGTATCTGGATATCGCATTTCTTCACACACGAACTCCCATTCGCGCGGCAACACAACACAACTCGCTAGACTAAACGAAACGTATAATATCCTGAAAAATCGTCGAGAGCTCGCACTATGATGGCGGCGTAGTGAAAAGAAAAATAAAATGATGTCGTTAGCGGTTGTTTGTTCAGCAGGAAGTCCGGATCTGAGTGGAGCTGCTTCGATAAATCCCGTATGTTCTATACAAACAGGAGACGGCTAAGGATTTCGAGTTTGCTGTCTACTTGGCTGTATACGCTCACTGATACGGCTCCAATATTCAAACCTACTACACTACGAATAATACATTTATCGATATTATATTGTAACTTTACATAATTTGAACGTATGAATAGATAATGTCTGTCAAAAGAGAATCCCTGTTTCGCATAATTATATCGTCCAATTTGAATGGGAATCTCAGCTCTCAGAGTTCTTATTTGATTTCTACATGTTGAATAGGAAATGAAGACTTGCCCAATATTAGCTAAAGCTTGTCTGTTAAATTAATGTTTTAGGTATGTGAATCGATTTGTCATGCGAGTGTTATATTAATTTCGTGAATTCTCATTAACTATATCATCTCTCACTGTTAAGTTAAAGAAAATTAGCATCTAGATGTTTTTTTATTGTGTCCTTACAGCTAATACCTAACCTATTTTCAAAATTTCACTTAGTTACATGTTCTAGTAAATTTGAGATTTTTTTTCTAGTTACAATCGTTTAAAAGTAACAATCTTACTAATGTAGAAATTTTCTTCAATAATGGGTTTTTCCCATTTTTTTGGTTGTTTAATCATATTAGCTGAGGATCTGACCTCATGTTGTGAGGGACTGTTGTGAACGGTTGGCGGGCTCTCAATTCTTGTGCAACGAACTATGCAGGATGTTTTTAGCATGGCGACAAGTTGATAATTAAAGCTATATTTCATTTTGACAGGTCTCGGGTATCGAGGCCATTTCCTTTCTGTAGGATAATATGCTGACCTACCTTTAAGTTTATTGATTGGACAGTGTGATTAGGGCCTAGGATATTATCATCTTTGCTTATAAAATTTTAATATTTGCAATAAACGTATTGTGTAACTTTATAATTGGTTTGATCAGAATGTCGGTTTGATCCGTATATATATTTTGTGTATTATCATCATCAGAATATTTGAAAGCACTCACTACTATAATGTAATACAAAACCTTCCTAATACAAAGGATCAAATAGGAAAACCAAGTTATATCACACCACGCGGGTCCTGTGCTGATTTACATTGATGATTCCAAACAAATGATATTATAGGAATAGCTAGGGAAGAACAACTACTAATTGTAGGAATATACATGAATAATCCAAACAAATGATATTTTAGGAATAACTAGGGAACAACAATTACTAATTGTAGGAATGTACATGAATAATTTTCAGTTGTAATAAATTTATGTGTTTTCACGTAACTTTTCTGTAATAATAAAAATATAATAACATTGTTACTCCCATTCAGTGTAATGATCAATGCATTCGTCCGGGTAGCGAAGGCCGCGGGTTCGAGTCCCGTCTAACTGCTTGGTCCGCGTGTAATTATTCAATTTTTTTTTCAGATTTAAACATCTAGCAGTGTGATGCTAAAAAAATATAACTTTATTTTCTATTTCTTCTTTCAAATGTTCAATACTTGTAAAGGTATTCATTTGACATTGTGGGTTACCTACACTGCAAAGAGAGATGGCGCTGTCTTGCAGCCTAAGAAATGCTAGAGAAAAATCAACACGGCCATCAGGGCCGCGGTAACATTATGGTCAGTGCATTCGCCCGGAAAACGAAGGGTGTCGGTTCGAGTCTCGTCTGCTGCCAGGTCCACGTGGAATGTTTTCTAGTAAAATTTTCTTTAGATTTATACAACAAGCAGTTAAATGCTGAAA